ACTCGATGGCACATAACAACAACAACAACAACAACATCACTATGGAAGTAGATTGCCCCACCTTCCTTCCGAAGAGTGACTGATGGGTTTGAACTGCCAGTCTTCCGGTTAGCAGTCAAGTGTCTTAGGCACTATGCTACCAGAGCTCCTAATAATAATAATATGTAGACCCAAATCCAATTCTATCAACAATTACCTTAAACATAAATGGTCTAATTAATTAAAAGCCAGAGATTGCCAAATTGGATTAAAAAAAAAAAAAATACTCAACACACAACGGGTGTGAAAAGATAAACCTGCCCAAGCTGCCCCCATCCAGAGAAGTTAGTGTGGCTCTTGCATCTGGGCAGTAAACATTGCCTGTATCTTATTCAAGAATGAGGTTGGGCCTGAAAAATACCCGGCAGGTCTTAGTGTTGTAGACATCTCATCTGTTCCAACCCTGGGACCCTGGGACCCTGGGACCCTGGGACCCTGGGACCCTCGGGGTCTGGCCTAGACTCAGTGGAGAGCAGCTGCTTCTGAAAGGGAAAAAAAGTCCCTCTGGCCCCATGTGTCACCCTAGGAACTACAGGTCTGATTCAAATGCCTTGGCTAATGAGAGAAGAGGTGGTGCACAGTAGGAGGAATAAGGACTTACTGACTGGAGGTGGCTGGGATGAAGAAAGTTCCAGTTCAACACCTGGGAGAAACAGGCAGAGAGGTTTATGCACAACTTGCCAAAAGACTCTGTCATCCAAGAGTCTCCCTATGTCTCAGCTCTGTTTTCTATTCAGAACTGGAGGAATACTAAGCTATGACCCCTTCCAAGGGCCCCTTCTCAGGCTTCTCAAAGGGTCTTTGCACTACTCACCTTGTTGAGATGTGCAGGAGACAGGGGTGAGTTCTAGCCCTGGAAGGGGTCAGAAATATAATGGTCATGAAGAGCAGGTCTTCAGCCAGTTGACCAAAGGTCCCAGCCCTAGACTCTACCTGCCATCTTCTGGGTCTTGCAGGGAAGTGAGGGCTTCTCCATTTTCTTTCCTGGAGAGGGAGGAATGATTGCTCAGTCTTGGCAGAGCAAAGTCAGCACTGGGTCTCCTGTACCCACCCCTAGCCCCAGCTCACCTGCCCGTGGAGGTCTTGGAGGAGCCATGGAACCTGGAGAAGAGATGCCTGGGGTTAGAACTTGTCTGAGGATGGGAAGAAGATTCAGGAAGTGATGAGAATCGGGTTGAGATTGCAATGAAAGTTAAGGGGTGGGATTGGAGATGGAGTTGGGTATAAGAATGGAATTGGGTTAGGCATGAATATGGGGTTAAGGTAGAGTGACCTGGGTTGCCTTTTGCAGTTTTCCTACATGCAGAAAGAGAAAGTAAAGGAGAGAGATGAAGTGGAGGGTAAGTTCTATTAGAATATTAAAAATGGTTTCACATGGAAGGTATTATGGTGATTATTATTTGCATCTGGTTACTTGAATTTTCCTATAATGTGCTATCTGTATAACTAAAATTGTTAAAGATACAATTTTTAAAATAATTTATTTTAAAAACAATTATGATGGCATTTGGATGTTGAGAGTGCCATGAAAAATACAAGATGAATCCTGCCTGGAAAAAAAAAAAAAAAAAATTCTAGGAGAAAACCAGAGTACCTTTCTGACCTGGGCCAGGAGAAGAGGAAAAAAAAACCAAACTGACTTCGTGATAAGGTGAACTGGAACCTATTAACAAAACAACTCCATCCATCATAGGTTAATTGACATTGGGGTTGGGAACGGAATTTGGATTGGGCTAGGGGTGGGGTGAATTGAACATGGGCTGGGTTTGGGGATAGTGATGGAGATATGGCTAGGACTGTGATTCAGGATGTAGTTAGAATAAAGAATGGAGTCATAGGTAGGTTTGGGAAAGAAAAGAATGTTGAGGTTGGGTTGTGGTTGGGTTGTGGTTGGGTTGTGGTTGGGTTGGTGCTGGAGTTGGGTTTGGGGCTGCATTTATGAATGGAGAGGGTCTACACTGGGAAGGGGCTAGTCCTGAAATTGGAGATGAAATTGCTCTTGGAGTTAAATTTAAAGATCACATTGGGTCCAGGGTTGGAGTTGGAAGTAAAACAGTCAAATAGCAGAACCCAGTTCACCTTTTGGGTGAACCTCATACTGTCCCTGGATCTCTCAGGTTGGCCCTGCTCTAGACTCAGAAATGGGGGATTCAGGATCCTATCTCACATGGAATGGCCACTCTCCAAGGACACAGTCTGCCTGAATGACTAGGCCCCAGGGATCGTATGGCATTGGGGGCCCTGGTGGGAATTAACGCAGAGAAACCTTCCAATCCTACAGTTTTATATGCACTTATCAGACTTACTGAGTTCAAGGCCAGAGCCTTGAGTGTGAATGCAGAGGCAGGACAGCCAACAGTCCACTCACAGTTCCTCAAACATATTAACTTTCATGTCTCAGGGCCCTTGCACCAACTGATTGCCTCCTGAGCTTGTCTTCCTAACAAAATCCTACTCAACCTTCCAGTTATACTCCAATGTCCCCTCCTCACAGAAGCCTTCCTTGACTCCCAAGCTCTCACCATTGCAGGCAGAACCTTCAACTGCCTCTCAGGATTCCCTCATCCCTTAGTCCCTCCCATCTTGGCCCAGATCATCCAAGGATGATCCCAGAACCTCCCACCCCATCAGATTGGGGGCAGGATACAGACAAGGATGTTCCTGCCATTGGGTTGCCTGGCATGGGGCTGGACACACAGGAAGCTAGCTGTGTGTCCACAATGCCCAGGCAACAACCTTGGAGAAGCCTCCAGTCCCATATCCCTCCACCTGGCCTCACTGAAGACTTCTTACCTGGTTTAGGAGGAAGGTCCTTGTAAGGTGGTGTCATGTTCTCATAATCATCATCCTCCTCATCATCTCTCACTCCTTCCAGGAGAGAAGAAAGTCAGGGTCCACCCCACTCCCTCCTCCACCCCTCAGGCCCTGGCCTCCTACCCAGCTGCCCCAGGATGGCCATGCTGTAAACTGGGTCCTGACCACCCCCATCCCCAGCCCGAGTCTGGCCAAGGCTGTACCCGACAGGTTCCGCAGCCCAGCATTAGTATACACGGTGCACATGGCTACAGCCTATAAATGGAGCCTGACAGGAGACAAGCAGAACTCAGCAGCTTCTACCCCTGTCCCTCTACTCCAATGTCTGGGGCCTCTCTCAGTTCCCTTTTCCTTTAAAAGGTCAATATATGCAAATCCAATATGAAGGGAAACCCCACCCACCCACACATACACTCAAACACGCTTGTCTTTTCCCCTGCTTGGATTTCCGTGTGGAAGTAATCATGACAACAGCACTTGCACTGGAGCTCCCACAAAGTGCCATGGCCTGGGTGAAAGAGACAGATAAACTCCTTCCTTCATGGAACTTTCAGTCTAGACAAGAGACACAATAAACAAGTAAAGAAGTGTAGGAATGAAAGTACTGCTTCTTATGGTCAGAAGGCTGGTGGTTCAAACCCACCAGCCACTCCTCAGAAGGAAGGTTGGGCAATCTTCTTCCGTAGTGATACTGCCTCAGCAACCCAAGGAAGTGTCGCTATGAGTTGGGTTTGACTCGACGGCACATAACAACAACAACAACAACATAGTCATTAAATGAAATGGAACACATAAAGATTGATATCCTAGGCACTAGTAAGTTTAAATGGACTGGTTTTAGCCATTTTGAATCAGACCACCATATGATCTACTATGACAAATTGAAGAGGAATGGAGTGTCATTCATCATCACAAAGGATGTTTCAAGATCTGTCCTGAAGTACAATGCTGTCAGTGATAGGATAATATCCATATGCCTACAAGGAAGACCAGTTAATATGACTATTATTCAAATTTATGCACCCACCACCAAAGCCAAAGATGAGGAAATTGAAGATTTTTATCAACTTCTGCAGTCTG